CAAAGGATAGGTGAAAGTGAATGTAAAGTTAGATGTGAACCTCGCCTAACTAGTTCCCCTTTCAGACCTTAGGGCAGATGATGTAAAGTTCATTTGTTTTTGTGGCCTACGGTTAACGAGGGTGTCATGTAGCCAGCACAACGACCAACCGCCTTTACTTTTCCCCAACTAATGTCAGGTACCCATAAGAGCTGAGTGGACTCAGAGGCGCCCAAAGATTCCAAAGTTTAAAATCTCAGTTTTCACCAGGTTTCGAACCCGGGACCCCCGGTTCGGAAGCCAAGCGCTTTATCGCTCAGCCACCGCGCCTCCCCTGGCCTAACTGATGTCTTATAATTGATCTAATTGTTTTGAAAAGGCTCAATTTTTTTATTTTTTTTTTTCTAACAAGGAAACCTCAGAATTTGCGCTATTCAATTTTAGCTTTATCATCATAGGAATCCTTGGGCCTCAAAAAATTAAAATATTCGCAATAAAAATAGGATTTAGGAAAATGAAGTTTACAAGATTACTATTTGTTTAAATTAGGTCTAACTTATAATGCATACTAATAAGCTTTTTCTCTTTAAAAAACTGCTTGCATAACTGATTTTAAAAATTAGATTTTTCGCTTTCAGAAAAAAAAAGTAGCCGTTGCATCAGAACTTTGAATGGTCTAAAATATTGTGGTGTCGGATTTTCAATATCTTTTCTAGTTTACGAGATCTAAACGGGACAGACGGACAGACATTTCGCACAAAACTAATAGCGTCATTTCCCCTTTCGGGGGCCGCTAAAAAATGCGAATTTTAAATAATTTCCCTGCCATTCGTTACTTCTCCGTGTGTTCAGATTTCTAATTGTTGTAATCCCGAGGGTAAACTGGGAGTCCAACTTTCAGCATCGGCCCGTCGGGCATGAAGACCTTTAGTTTGCTCATCAACTTTTCTTGAAGTAACACGATTAGTCACTGCTGATGAATGGAATGGCTGTAATTGTCCGAAAGAAGGAACCTGAGAGGCTGAGTCCTCAGAGTGTTCACATAGCAGAGTCGTGAAATAGGAAAAAAAAAAGAAAGAGAGAGAGGGGGGGGGGGGAGGGAGGGAGAGAGAGAGAGAGAATGATAAGATGGAGATGTAAAAAAAAAGAGTGCTATATTTTAAAATATATCAAGTGGATGGAAATTAGTGGAGAGAGAGAGAGAAAGAGAGAGAGAGAGAGAGATTTATCTTATGCGTCATTGTTGTGAGTGGTGAAGGTTATGACAGTTTGAGAATGCTGTGTAATTTGTTAGTCCTGTTATCAAATCAACAATAATAAAGCTGACCATTCAGGAGAAGATAACATTGATGACTCCCTGCCCGCCCCTTATTCCCATTATGACCTTTTAAACCCAAAAACTTCCACGAGGAAAAAATAAAAGATTGACTGAGTCTTGTCATTGAAGCACTCTTTCTGTCAATTTAAAAAAAAAAGAGAGAATTCAAATTTGTTCTGAAAGTCTTCCGAAATTACCAAAATGACTTAGAGCCTTGAGTTCTGTTTTGACGTATGTTGATAGTTCTGTCTTTTCAGTACTACGTTTAGTTTTAGAATAAAGTGTCAAAATTTTTTTTTTTTTTTCACGTCAATAAATTATTGAAATAGACACATCAAAACAACCATTGTATATAAAGCAAGACTGTTAAAAAAGGGGCCATCATTCATGATTTCCTCTAGAAAAATACTCTCAATCTCTGAAGGATACACTATATATTTATCACTGAACGCAACATAATTTTACTTGCAAATTTCATGGGCAGTTTCACTGGCTTGCACCAGAAACAACTAGCTCTGATGCGAAAGTAGCCATCATGATTTGATTAATATGCACAATACATTTTCAGCTTGACGTTAGTCTGTGTTGGTAAGTCTGTTTTTGGTAAGTTTATGTTTTAAGTCTGTTGGTGACTTTATGTTGATGAGACTATGTTGGTATGCCTATGTTGTTGAGACTATGTTGGTATGCCTATGTTGACGAGACTTTGTTGATGGGTCTATGTTGTTTAAAATATACAGTAAGTCTATGTTGTGAGTCTTTGCTGGTAAATCTATGTTAGTAAGTGTATGTTGTGAGTCTATGCTGGTAAGTCTATGGTAAGTTTATGTTGTAAGTCTATGCTGGTAAGTCTATGGTAAGTTTATGTTGTGAGTCTATGCTTGTAAGTCTATGGTAAGTTTATGTTGTGAGCCTATGCTGGTAAGTCTATGCTGGTAAGTCCATGTTGTGAGTCTATTTTTCGAGTCTATGTTGTGAGTCTATGCTGGTAAGTCTATGGTAAGTTTATGTTGTAAGTCTATGCTGGTAAGTCTATGGTAAGTTTATGTTGTGAGTCTATGCTTGTAAGTCTATGGTAAGTTTATGTTGTGAGCCTATGCTGGTAAGTCTATGCTGGTAAGTCCATGTTGTGAGTCTATTTTTCGAGTCTATTTTATGAGTCTATGCTGGTAAGTCTATGTTGGTAAGTATATGTTGTGATTC